TCTATCTATCTATCTATCTATCTATCTATCTATCTATCTATCTATCTATCTATCTATCTATCTATCTATCTATCTATCTATCTATCTATCTATCTATCTATCTATCTATCTATCTATCACTGCTTCCTATGATAAAGCAAATCAATCCAGAATGCATCACAAGAACCCAGATCTCTCCAAGGAGCGGTGGATGCAGTTGGGTAGATGTCTGATATACCATACTCTACGGATCTTTCCTGGATGAGAAAAAAATCCAGCCTCTTTTGCAAACATTTCAGGGGAGGCATTGGTCATTATCAGGAAGTGACTCCTCCAGTTTACAGATGGTGATGCCACCTGGGCCAGTCTTATTCCAGCCAAGGCATGTGCCTACTTCTGAAACAGATCCAATCTTTACAACTTCAGGTCAAAGGGTAGCTGACTGAGGGTTCAATCCTACACTTTCTGATCTAGGAGTAAACCAGATGGGAATTCTAAGAGGCTTACTTCTGAGAAGACTAGGCATATATCTTCACGGGCTTGCATATTTTCCCCTGGACATTCATTTCCCTTTCCCTTTTCTTTTGCAAAGTGGTCTCTGGTTAACTTTGCACAAAGTGTCCACCAATTAATGTCAGAAATTCTCTAACTATGCAGAAATGTGGTAGTTTTCTTATTATCAACACAGAGCTATTTGTTGTCAACAAATAACTTTCTAAAACAGTCTGACTTGTTTAAAACATGACTGTGTACTAACTAACTAACTAACTAACTAACTGACTGACTGACTGACTGACTGACTGACTGACTGACTGCCTTTCTCCCTGTAGTGGAACTAAAGATGGCTTAAGATGATTTAAAAACTCAAATATTAAAACAGTTATCTTCACAAAAATTCACACTGTAAACAGTTTAAACATATTAATTCTAAAAGGTACTAAATAAAAACTTGTTAAAACACACTTAAAACACATTTACAAAAACAAAAGGACAAGTCCCTTTCTCACCAGCCGTCGGTATATTAAAAACCTACCAGTGGAAGGACAGTACGAAGGGGACAGGCTGGTCTCTCCTGCGCTCATAGGTGGGCGTGTTGCGCTTGCTGTTGTCCATCTCTGTTGTAAAAAGTTGGCGAGCGTTACTATTTCCTGTTGTGCATATAGGACTTAAATGGAGGAACTAGTAAGACTCAGGAATTAACCATTTCCCATGGCTATTTCATGAGCTCATAGCTTAGGTGAATGTGGTTCACAGCTCATTCTCTTACGTACCAACCTATGCTGCCTTGAAAATCCTCATCCATGAGTTTTCAAAAAGATTGCCATGTTAGTTTATTAAACCATGCACAGCCAAAACCCAATCCAAGCCAAAGTACTGTGGCGTCTCCTAGAGTAAATACATTTAGTTCCACCTGAACTTCTATGGATTCAAATCTACTTCCTCAGTCACAGGGAAAATACAGTATTTAGGCCACAGTGTATACATATACATATTATATATACAAAGCCATATTGAAACACAGGTTTACATGTGAAGTATCTAGAACTTTGTCTATCATGGCATGTATTGTTGTTGTTGGGGTGGCCAACTTGAGAAGCAGAATACAGAGACAAATAATGACACAGGTCACCTGGTCAGCCCCCAAAACCATGTATACAGCATATAGAAAACTGAAGGTTAATTAATTCTCATCTTTATCTTTAATATTATAGTCCATGTGCCTGAAGAACTGGATTAAAGCCAACAAAATATCACACTTAAATAAACATGTTAGTCTTGAAAGGTGCCACAACATCCTGTTATGCAGAGTATTACAGAAAGACATTATAAACTTATAAACTGCCTGACAAATAAATATTGTATCTCACCTCCGCACAGGAAAGGGTTTCAAATGACAAAAGATTCTGTCTAAACCAGAAGAATGTTTTTCTACTTGCAAACAGCATGCTTTGTTTGCATATCTACATTAACTATGCATTAATGTATTTAAGAACATAAAAACAGTGTCAGGATGTCAAATTGCAACAGAAACATTCTTACTTTTGTGGGTTTTGCAGCTTGGCCACCACCCCCATAATGGAAATTGGGGACTCCTGCAGACCCTTCGCCATTCTTCCAACGCTCTGGCAGTCTCTGTTTCACCTTGCTCCTGAAATCCTTCTGTGAGATGGTGGATTTGGATCTTTTCAGTTCTAAAAAAAAGAATGGCTTTCCTAGGTAGGAAGGAAAAAAAGGAAGGAAAACCGAAGAAAAAAAGGAAAAAGGAAGAATAGTGGCATTTTGAACACTGTGCCATGGATTTGAAATACAAAAATATGTTCAAGTATTGATAGACAAAGATACCGAAAATACACTGTAGACTGCAGTGCACAGAATCCATGACCAGAAAAGCTGAAGAACGTGACAGACTGAAATTAAGCAGTTTAAGACATCAACCTTGTTTTGGTACAGTTAGGGAAAATTCTATGCACACGTACTTACACATATTCCACTGAATGTCTCAAAAACTTAATATTTAATATTTTATGCTTTTAACTGTAATTTATTGTATTGTGCTTGTTTTACTGCATTTTATGATATTTGATTTATGCCCCAATTGTACTGTATT